ACACAATGGCTTCAAACTACAAGAGAGGAGATTCCATCTGAACATTAGGAAGAACTTCCTGACTGTGAGAGCCGTTCAGCAGTGGAACTCTCTGCCCCGGAGTGTGGTGGAGGCTCCTTCTTTGGAAGCTTTTAAGCAGAGGCTGGATGGCCATCTGTCAGGGGGGATTTGAATGCAATATTCCTGCTTCTTGGCAGGGGGTTGGACTGGATGGCCCATGAGGTCTCTTCCAACTCTTTGATTCTATGATTCTATGATTCTAGATTCTCAGTGTTTCTCAACCTGGGAGTTGGGACCCCTGGGGGGGTCATGAAGGGGCTTTCAGAGGGGTTACCAAAGACCACCAGAAAACCCAGAAAAGGAAAGAGCCTGAGGCCAGGAATTGTGTCTAAAACACTCGGAGGGCCGAAATTTGCCCATGCCTAATATTGGTGTGTGTGTGCATGCGTATGTATGTATGTATGTATGTGTATGTGTGTGTGTGTATATACACACACACACACTAGCCGTCCCCGTCACGCATTTGTGTGGCCCAGTCTGGTGATCTGGAAAATAAAGTCATGAGAAAGTATTGGTTTCTAATATATGTAATTCCTTTCTGCTTATGGATAAACAGTATTTCTTGCTATTTCTTTGTCAGTGTTGATGTGGAGAGTGTCTGGTTTGCCCACTCTGGAACATGCAACATATAATTGTCCTTCTTTAGGGGTCCCTTTCAAATCTATGATACTATATCTTTCTGTGTGTGAATCATATATGTCTATCTATATCTATGGCTGGATGGCTCTTTGTCAGGAGGGATTTGATTATGTTTTCTTGCCCTGGTGAAGGGAATTGGAATGGATGGCCTAAAATATTTTGTTAGTCATGGGGGTTCTGTGTGGGGAGTTTGCCCCAATTCTGTTGTTCGTGGGGTTCAGAATGCTCTGTGATTGTAGGTGAACTATAAATCCCAGTAACTACAACTTCCAAATGTCAAAGTCTATTTTCCCCAAACTCCACCAGTGTTCACATTTGGGCATTTGGAATATTCATGCCACGTTTGGTCCAGGTCCATTATTGTTTGAGTCCACAGTGCTCTCTGGATGTAGGTGAACTACAACTCCCAAACTCAAGGTCAATGCCCACCAAACCCTTCCAGTATTTTCTGTTGCTCATGGGAGTTCTGTGTGCCAAGTTTGGTTCAGTTTCATCATTGGGGGAGTTCAGAATGATCTTTGATTGTAGGTGAACTATAAATCCCATCAACTACTGTAATACTCCTAAATGTCAAGGTCTATTTTCCCCAAACTCCACTAGTGTTCACATTTGGGCATTTGGAATATTCATGCCAAGTTTGGTCCAGATCCATTATTGTTTGAGTCCACAGTGCTCTCTGGATATAGGTGAACTACAACTCCCAAACTCGAGGTCAATGCCCACCAAACCCTTCCAGAATTTTCTGTTGGTTGTGAGAGTCCTATGTGCCAAGTTTGGTACAATTCCATCATTAGTAGGGTTCAGAATGCTCTGTGATTGTAGGTGAACTATAAATCCCAGTAACTACAACTCCCAAATGTCAAAGTCTATTTTCCCCAAACTCCACGAGTGTTCTCATTTGGGCATTTGGAATATTCATGCCAAATTTGGTCCAGATCCATCATTGTCTTGAGTCCACAGTGCTCTCTGGATGCAGGTGAACTACAACTCCCAAACTGAAGGTCAATGCCCACCAAACCCTTCCAGTGTTTTCTATTGATCATGGGAGTTCTGTGTGCCAAGTTTGGTTCAGTTTCATCATTGGTGGAGTTCAGAATGATCTTTGATTGTAGGTGAAGTATAAATCCCAATCAACTACTGTAATACTCCCAAATGTCAAGGTCTACTTTCCCCAAACACCACCAGTGTTCACATTTGGGCATTTGGAATATTCATGCCAAGTTTGGTCCAGATCCATTATTATTGAGTCCACAGTGCTCTCTGGATGTAGGTGAACTACAACTCCCAAACTCAAGGTCAATGCCCATCAAACCCTTCTAGTGTTTTCTATTGATCATCTGAGTTTTGTGTGCCACGTTTGGTTCAATTTCATCATTGGTGGAGTTCACAATGCTCTTTGATTGTAGGTTAACTATAAATCCCAGAAACTACAACTCCCAAATGACAAAATCATATTTTTTTGAGTGATGGTCACTCCTTGGTGTATTGTGGCCAAATTTGGCAGCAATTCGTCCAGTGGTTTTTGAGTTATGTCAATCCCACAAAAAAACATTACATTTTTATTTATATAGAAAGAAAGATATATATTCTGTCAGGGCTGATTTCACTTTTTTCAAGCCTTCTTTGGCAGGAAAAACTCCACTTTGGCAGGAAAAACGAAATGCAAAGATACAGAATGGGGGACAATGCCTGGCTCAAGAGCAGTACGTGTGAAAAAGATCTTGGAGTCCTTGGACAACAAGTTAAACATGAGCAAACAATGTGATGTGGTGGCAAAAAAAGCCAATGGGATTTTGGCCTGCATCAATAGGAGCATAGTGTCTAGGTCTAGGGAAGTGATGCTCCCCATGCTCTATTCTGCTTTGGTTAGACCACACCTGGAATATTGTGTCCAATTCTGGGCACCACAATTCAAGAGAGATATTGACAAGCTGGAATGTGTCCAGAGGAGGGCGACTAAAATGATCAAGGGTCTGGAGAACAAGCCCTATGAGGAGCGGCTTAAGAGCTGGGCATGTTTAGCCTGAAGAAGAGAAGGCTGAGAGGAGACATGATAGCCATGGATAAATATGTGAGAGGAAGTCATAGGGAGGAGGGAGCAAGCTTGTTTTCTGCTTCCCTGGAGACTAGGACGCGTAACAATGGCTTCAAACTACAAGAGAGGAGATTCCATCTGAACATGAGGAAGAACTTCCTGACTGTGAGAGCTGTTTAGCAGTGGAACTCTCTGCCCCGAGTGTGGTGGAGGCTCCTTCTTTGGAAGCTTTTAAACAGAGGCTGGATGGCCATCTGTCAGGGGTGATTTGAATGCAATATTCCTGCTTCTTGGCAGAATGGGGTTGGACTGGATGGCCCATGAGGTCTCTTCCAACTCTATTATTCTATGATTCCACAGCTCCCAAATATCAAAGTCTATTTTCCCCAAACTCCACCAGTGTTCACATTTGGGCATTTGGAATATTCATGCCAAGTTTGGTCCACATTCATCTTTGTTTGAGTCTGGATGTAGGTGAACTACAACTCCCAAACTCAAGGTCAATGCCTACGAAACCCCCTTCTAGTGTTTTCTGTTGATAATCAGAGTTCTGGGTGCCAAGTTCATCATTGGTGGAGTGTGTGGGGAGTTTGCCCCAATTCTGTCGTTTGTGGGATTCAGAATGCTCTGTGATTGTAGGTGAACTATAAATCCCAGCAACTACAACGTCCAAATGTCAAAGTCTATTTCCCACAAACTCCACCAGTGTTCACATTTGGGCATTTGGAATATTCATGCCAAGTTTGGTCTAGATTCTTCATTGCTTGAGTCCACAGTGCTCTCTGGATGTAAGTGAACTACAACTCCCAAACCCTTCCAGTATTTTCTGTTGGTTGTGAAACTTCTGTGTGCCAAGTTTGGTTCAATAGCATTGTTGATGGAGTTCACAATGCTCTTTGATTTTAGGTGAACTATAAATCCCAGAAACTACAACTCCCAAATGACAAAATCATATTTTTTGAGTGATGGTCACTCCTTGGTGTATTGTGGCCAAATTTGGTGTCAATACGTCCAGTAGTTTTTGAGTTATGTCAATCCCACAAACGAACATTACATTTTTATTTATATAGAAAGAAAGATATATATTCTGTCAGGGCTGATTTCACTTTTGTCAAGTCTTCTTGTCACTTTCCAGCCAATGGCTGGCTCCCACAGGGGAATGCACTCTGCTTATACTCAGAGGCACTCTTATCCTATCTTTGGGGAAAGTGACAGGACTGAATTGTGTCTCTGAAATACAACAGTTGGTGCCAAACGCTCTGTTGTATTCCCCATTGTCTGTCTCTCCCTCAGAGAGGCACAACCTGACAATGCCTTCCTTTTTTTTTCCTTTCTCCCCGTTCTAACCAATAGGAAGAAGGGAGGGCGGGGCCCGGAGGAGCTGTTTTGCATAACGGCCGCCCAGAGAAGCGTCTCGAGCCGCCTCGAGCCGCCTCGCGCCTCGCGCCATTGGTTCCTCGGGGCATCAATCCTTCCAGTCCGATCCCGCCTCTACTGGAAGCTTCTGGCTGAGGGGAGATAGAAGGGGGGTTGGACGGAGGCAAGCGATTGGCCAGAGGTTTCGAGAGAGCGCCGCGATTGGTCGGCGGGGTTCTGGCACGTTCCAGAAGCGGGCGTGCGCGGGTATAAAAGGGCCCGCGCATCTCGCTCAACGGCAGATCGCGCCTCAGCTGTGAGAGAGCGAGAGGGTGTGTGAGGAGCGCTGAGAAGCCTTTCTGACAGACAGGACTTCTAAGAGACGTTGTATCCCTCACTTCTGTTGTATCCCTCACTTCTGACGGACCCCTCGCTTCTGCTGCTGCTGCAACCATGTCGGGCAAAGCGCCTGCGATTGGCATCGACTTGGGCACCACGTACTCCTGCGTGGGGGTCTTCCAGCACGGGAAGGTGGAGATCATCGCCAACGACCAAGGCAACCGCACCACGCCGAGCTATGTGGCCTTCACCGACACCGAGCGCCTCATTGGGGACGCGGCCAAGAACCAAGTGGCCATGAACCCCAACAACACCATCTTCGACGCCAAGCGACTCATTGGGCGCAAGTTCGAGGACGCCACGGTGCAGTCGGACATGAAGCATTGGCCTTTCCGCGTGGTCAGCGAAGCCGGGAAGCCCAAAGTCCAAGTGGAGTACAAGGGCGAGATCAAGACTTTCTTCCCAGAGGAGATCTCCTCCATGGTGCTGACCAAGATGAAGGAGATTGCAGAGGCCTACCTCGGCCGCAAAGTTCAGAGTGCTGTCATCACCGTCCCGGCGTATTTCAACGACTCCCAGCGCCAAGCCACCAAGGACGCCGGCACCATCACGGGCCTCAATGTGCTGCGCATCATTAACGAGCCCACAGCTGCTGCTATTGCTTACGGCCTGGACAAGAAAGGCAGCGGAGCTGGTGAGAAGAACGTCCTGATCTTCGACCTGGGCGGTGGCACCTTCGATGTCTCCATCTTGACCATCGAAGATGGCATCTTTGAGGTGAAGTCCACGGCTGGTGACACCCACTTGGGTGGCGAGGACTTTGACAACCGCATGGTGAGCCACTTTGTGGAGGAATTCAAGCGCAAGCACAAGCGTGACATCGCCGGCAACAAGCGGGCCGTCCGGCGACTGCGCACGGCCTGTGAGAGGGCCAAGCGCACCCTCAGCTCCTCCACCCAGGCCTCCATTGAGATCGACTCCTTGTTTGACGGGATTGACTTCTACACATCCATCACCCGGGCCCGCTTCGAGGAGCTCAATGCCGACCTCTTCCGTGGCACCTTGGAGCCGGTAGAGAAGGCCCTCCGTGACGCCAAGCTGGACAAAGGCCAGATCAATGAGATTGTGCTGGTTGGCGGCTCCACTCGCATCCCCAAGATCCAGAAGCTGCTGCAAGACTTCTTCAATGGCAAAGAGCTCAACAAAAGCATCAATCCCGATGAAGCAGTGGCCTACGGGGCTGCGGTGCAGGCGGCCATCCTGATGGGCGACAAGTCAGAGAATGTACAGGACCTGCTGCTCCTTGACGTGGCACCACTGTCCCTTGGCATTGAGACGGCAGGTGGAGTGATGACAGCCTTGATCAAGCGCAACACCACCATTCCTACTAAGCAGACCCAGACTTTCACCACCTATTCAGACAACCAGAGCAGCGTGTTGGTGCAGGTGTACGAGGGTGAGAGAGCCATGACAAAGGACAATAATCTGCTGGGCAAGTTTGACCTGACGGGGATCCCTCCAGCCCCCCGTGGCGTGCCCCAAATCGAAGTGACATTCGACATAGATGCTAACGGCATCCTCAACGTCACAGCCGTGGACAAGAGCACCGGCAAAGAGAACAAGATCACCATCACCAATGACAAAGGTCGCCTCAGCAAGGACGACATTGACCGCATGGTTCAGGAAGCGGAGCGCTACAAGGTGGAAGACGAGTCCAACCGCGAACGGGTGGTCTCCAAGAACGCCCTGGAGTCCTACGCCTACAACATCAAGCAGACGGTGGAAGACGAGAAGCTGAAAGGCAAGATTGGGGAGCAGGACAAGCAGAGGATCCTGGAGAAGTGCCAGGAGGTCATCAGCTGGCTTGACCGCAACCAGATGGCCGAGAAGGAAGAGTTTGAGCACAAGCAGAAGGAGCTGGAGAAGCTTTGCAACCCCATCATTGCCAAGTTGTACCAGGGTGCCGGGGCTGCAGGGGCTGGTGCTCCAGGTGGGGGCCCCACCATTGAGGAAGTGGACTAAGCTGCCCTGAACTGGACTGTAGAGGTGGCTCCCCCTTGGTTGTTCTGTTTTTCTCTAGTCAGTCAGTGCCATTGCTGGTAGAGTTTTCTGGGAATCGGGTGGGTGGGAGGAGATAGTACCTTGTTCTCTACTTCACCAAAGGAAGCCTTACCAGCTTAATGTATTTGTTGCAGATAGTATTTGTTTAGTATCCAGGTAGCTATGCCTAGTAGTTAGTGGATTTCTGTTTCTTTATGTTCCTTGTTCTGAATGTCCACTTGAGAATTGCCACTGAGCGAAAAAACCATTTCAAAAGTGCATGGAAAATGTTGAAAACAAAAAAAAATATTTTGTAACTTTTTTGGTCTGGTTATTTTAAAATTTTGGTAATAAAAGTTATTTGAATCTTGAAATAACCTCTTTTTCTTTCTAAAAGGAAACTTTTTATGAAATGGGAAATCTGCCAAATGTGTATTTTGCTTTACATTAAGAACTTTACTTGAAAACAACAATAACCATGCATTTTAACTTGTATTACTAAAATGATGATAGTGTTCCAGGCTATTTTTTGTGGCTTAGGGCTGGAGCTACATTGCCCTATATCCCAGGATCTGATCCCAAATTATGTGCATATTCCAGATTATCTGATAGTGTAGACTCATATAATCCAGTTCAAGCCAGATATTCAGGGATTGGATCCTGGGGTATAGGGCAGTGTAAATGGGGGTCTTAATTAGCTGTTGGCCTGTTACTATTTTCCAAAATAGATTAGCCTAGAAAGAAACAAAAGAAAGGGGCAACTGGAATGTATTTGAAGCCTTCATTTACAATATTGCCAGGCAGAAATTCATATGCTGGGGCAGAATTTGTAAGTGCATTACATTATGCAACTGTAAAAGGAATGGGGGCCTTATTGGGGAACACTGGCAGCCGTACTTTCACAGGATTACAGCAGTTATCTTTTTTTTAACTTAGAATACTTTAGAAAGGGACCTTGTTTCTAATTAGTTTTCTCATTCAGTTAAACCAGTTTAGCAGCTGACAGCAGCATAAAAGTTTCCTAGCAGGGTGGGGCAGATAACTACATTGAGCAGACAGCTTTATCTCTCACAAAGCAAAACCAATTGGGTCAGAACGGCATGAATAAAACCAAACAGTGATAAATGTTAAGTATTCAAAAAGGTCCTGGCATACTGATGAGTAATAACGCAAATGTGGTTTGAGCCTGCCTGGCTTTTTATTAAGGAAACTCAAGTTTAGTAAGAGTGACTTAAACTGAGACTTAATAGTTGAGTTGCTGTAAGTTTTTTGGGCTGTATGGCCATGTTTCACAACCTCTGAGGATGTCTGCCATAGATGCAGGCAAAACGTCAGGAAGGAATGCTTCTGGAACATGGCCATACAGCCCTAAAAACTTCCAGCAACCCAGTCATTCCGGCCATGAAAGCCTTCAACAATACATTGAAATTTAACAGTTGTTCATTAAAAGATGTGTGGGGCAGTTGAATCTTGTTTTTAGATATGTTAACTCAGGCATGGCTTTTAGGAATTGTGGGAGTTGAAGTCCAAAACACCTGGAGGGCCCAAGTTTGCCTGTGCCCATGTTAAGTTTTAAGAACTTCTGAAAAATGTAATAGTGTAAGTCGACCAAGGATTACCCAAAACATTTTGACCCAAGGACCTCGAGGAGAGTCCTGGAAATTGTATTGGGAAAGGAATCTATATAATTTGCATAACGATTTGGAACACCCAAACCTACAATCAAATTCTATCTACACCTGCATTGGTATTTTTGTAATATTTCTTGCATGAACAAGTGTTATAGCTTTGATAGCATGTAATTAGGAAGTCCAGCTGGAAGTACACAATATTTTTAGAGCACATGCAAAGTGCTTCCTTGGTTTTTTTCCTGGGTCCCTATAAACACAAACGCAAACAGGGAAGGTGTTAAATCATTTGCATCTTACAATCCTATGAGAGACCTATGAGATGCAAACAATTATAATACTTTTTCAACCTGGCTGCTGTTTAAGGAACAATCATGAAAGCCGTTTTTCCTAGGTTTGCATGACAAGCTGCATATTGTCAAAGGATTTCGTGGCCAGAATCACTGGGTTGTTGTAGTTTTTTTGGGCTATGTGGCCATGTTCTAGAAGCATTCTCTCCTGAGGTTTTGCCTGCATATATGGCAGGCATCCTCAGAGGTTCAGAGGATGCCTGCCATATATGCAGGTGACACGTCAGGAGAGAATGGTTCTAGAACATGGCCATATAGCCCGAAAAACCTACAGCAATACAAGCTGCATAGATCACAATCTACCCTGCATGGGGGTTTTTTTCCTGAGGAAAGTGCAAAAAATTCCTGGAATTGCTGTGGACTGTCTTCTTTTGTAAATCTTAGGTGTAGTATTGAACTTGATAGACTCCAGTCAACGCCTGGGGTTGGCTCATACATGCTGAGGATTTCCTGCAGAACGTCTTTTTAGCATTCTCTGTCAATTACAATTCTTTTGACAAGCCTACTTCTGGTTGCACTTTCCAAATGCTTGTTTGTGGTATTTGTACTTCAGAAATTGACAGTACAAAATAACAACAAATAAGTAAACTGCATGGGCTCCACTGCATCTGCTTGTACCACCATTCTATGGCAGTACTGTGGTGGTACAAGGCAGTGGATTTTTCCTATTCTGCTTGATACAGGGTACCAACTTTTCTGCTTTCTCGCAAAGTCTTTCCTATGATTCCTTAGCATTGAACTATGATAGTTAGTGGTGTCAGACTGCATTCGTTCTATAGTGTGTAGATGCACTCTTGGCGCCCTTACAGACAGCCTTATAACCTAGAATATCAAGTCAGATAATCCACAATATCTGCTTTGAATTGGATTATCTGAGTTCACACCACCATATAATCCAGTTCAATGTGGATTTAATGCAGTTGTGTGGAAAGTAATATGCAGTTGTGTGGAAAGTAATAGTCTAAAAGTAATATTTTCCTAAGCTCTAAATGGCACAAGGTTCATTTGATAGAATTACAACAGCATTGAATAGGTCTGTAATATTTGCCTGCACTGGTGCAAATCTTTTATGTATTACATTTCTACTTTACTTTTATCCTACCATGGAATTCAAGACAACATAGAGAAGGCTTCTTATATATAACCTCATCTGACCCAGGCATGCTCAGAAAGGGCGCATTGACACTGTAGACTTAATACACTTTGGCACAACTTGGAACTGCCATGGGTCAATGCTATGGAATCCTGGGAGTTGTAGTTTGGTGAGACACCAGCACTGTTTGGCAGAGAAGGCTAAAGACCTTGTAAAATTACAAACTCTCAGCATTCCATAGCATTCAGCCATAGAAGTTCAAGTGGGGTCAAACTGCATTAATTCTACAGTATTGATACTCTCAAAAAGAGTGATTTCATGAGTCTCTAGCCAAGGTGTGATTGCTATAAGAATGAGGAACTCTTCAAACAAGTGAATCCAAGCTGCATCTACACTGCCCTATATCCCAGGTCCTAATCCCAGATGATCTGCTTTGAAACAGGATTATATGAATACACTGCCAGATAATCTGAGATAAGCAGATAATCTGGAATCAGATCCTGGGATATGGGGCAGTGTAGCTCCAGCCTCAGATTCTTGTACGGAGATGAGAAACTTTACGTGCCTGGGTCCATTTTTATTAGTTCTGGCTTAGCTGTGTTTGTGTAGAAGGAGGTTTTGCGCCTTTTCATAGGGTTTGTTGCCGTGTAACTGTTCAAACTTGTCATTCCTTCTTGCGGTATAGTATGGGAGATTTAGCACTGCCTTTAGAGTAGAAGCGCTTGGCAGAACCTCCAGCGGCACACCCATTGAAATGAGAAGCGGTTGCCAGGCCTTTTCAGGTTTTACCTTACAAAGAGTTTTTGTTTGCAAGGTAGAACAAAGAACACCTTCCGGTGGGAGAATTGAATTTCAACCACCAGATACCTTTCACTTTTGTAGCAGAGGACAAGAAGGCCCTTTCAGGAGAGTGTGGCACATCGTACCAGTGCTAAAAAGTGTACTGGCAACCAGGTTGTTTGGATGTAGGCTAAACTAAAAGGGCTGCTCCTCCTCTTTCGAAAACTCCAAATGGCTTTGGGATAAGAAAGTAACCAAATTATCTTGTTTAAGAAGTTGCCTTTCTAGTTCGTTGTTAAGAGAGTTTAGCCCCGTTGCCATTTTAAGCGTAGCCTGCCATCTTGACTTGTGAAGTCTCCATTTTGTTCAGGAAAGTGCTTGGAAAGACAAGGAAGCAGATTGGTAGTTTCCTTACTATCTCATTTAGGGTGCATCTATACCAGCATTGGCAAACTTAGGCCCTCCAGGTGTTTTGGACTTCAACTCCCACAATTCCTAACAGCCTATGGCTGTTAGGAATTGTGGGAGTTGAAACCCAAAACACCTGGGGGGGCCCAAGTTTGCCCATGCCTGATCTACACTATATAATTAATGCAGCTTGGCTAAACTGACATGGCCTAATGCTATGAAATCATAGGAGTTATAGTTTGGTGAGGCACTAGTATTCTGGCACAGAAGGCTAAAGTTTTTGTAAAACTACAACTGCCAGGATCCCATAACATTGAGCCATGACAGTTAAAGTGGTGCACTAATTCTGCAGTGTAGATGCAACATTACTCCCAGATCTCTAGAATAAGCAGCTATTGTGCCTTATCATAATGATTCCCAATGTTTAGACCTTCAGGTGTTTGGAATTTGAACTCCCAGAAGCCCCTGCCATCTTAACCAACTGTCAGGAATTCTGGGAGCTGAAATCCAAAATACCCAGAGGACCCAAAGTTGGGAAATCACTACTTTATTAGGTTCTTAATTCAGGCAGGATCTACATTGCCTTATATCCCAGGATCTGATCCCAGGTTATATTCTTATCCCAGATTATCTGGCAATGTAGTTTTATATAATCCAGTTCAAAGCAGATAATCTGGGATCAAATCCTGGGATATAGGGCAGTGCAGATCCAGCCTCAGCCAACTAAGGGCTTTTCCACACAGCCATATAACCCAGAATATCAAGGCAAGTAATCTACAATATCTGTTTTGAACTGGATTATCTGAGTCCACACTGCCTTATAATCTAGTTTTAAGGAGCCCCCAGTGGTGCAATGGGTCCTTGTGCCGGTGGGACTGAAGACCGACAGGTTGCAGGTTCGAATCCGGGGAGAATGCGGATGAGCTCCCTCTGTCAGCTCCAGCTCCCCATACGGGGACATGAGAGAAGCCTCCACAAGGATGGTAGAACATGAAAACATCCAGGCAATGTCCCCTGGATGCAACATCCTTGCAGATGGCCAATTCTCTCACAGCAGAAACGACTTGCAGTTTCTCAAGTCGCTCCTGACACACAAAAAAAATCTGGATTTTATATGA